ATTCAAGAGAATGAAAAAATTGGGAATACAGAGTTTTTATTTCTATTAAGTATATTTCTTTGATGGCAGATTCAGTAAGCCATGCTGTTAGAATGCGTTTTGGTGTAATTTGGCTAAATCTGTAATAAAAATATTTTATTATGAAACCTATCATAAATTTTAACTTGGAAGAGTTGTCTTTAAGAAAGCAGTCACTGTTCGGAATACCTGAAGACCTTGGTTCTAACCCTTCTTCTCACCCTGATGAACTGTGTGACCTTAGACCAGCCCTGTAGCCTCGGTAAATCTTCATCTTTGCCTGGAAGTGGTAGTGTGGGAGAGCAAGCAGTTTGATCTGTACGTCTCTTAGTTTTCTCATCCTATGACTTTTTAATAAAAGTTACTCAATTTTATTTCCTTACGTATCTAATTAATAGATGAATAATCTAATAAATTAATCTGTACTAACTAAAGAAAGAGAAAGTAGTTACAGACTCAAAGGCATGGAAGGGAGGCTAAAATTTTTGACTAAGGAGATGGTGTAGAGTTTACTAAACCAGAAGTCCAGAAGTGTATGTTCTTGACACATGAAATACTAAGAGCTTTACTGGCAACTGCTTTGGTTTTTAATTTATCACAGATGTGGCTCCTCAGCTACGACGTAATCAGAATCCTAAAGGACATTCCACATACAGTGTTGCAAAGGTTCAACTTTGGACTGGGTTTTGTAAAGTCAGCTTGAAACGGATTCAGCCAGTCTGTGGCTCTTCAGATCCTACGCTGATTCAGAGTCTCACATGTGGCTGGTGTTTTTCCTAACAGTTATTAGTAGGTGCCACAGTGTAGGAAAAAGGACAATCAGCCGTTTCTGTTATAATTAAAGGTAGAATTTTCCTTTCACAGTCCTACCATTTCAAAATTCAATTTCTTTATTATATCCAGATGGGACTGAAGGGGGCCTTATATTATACTTTTTCATTTTCTGTAGAATATGTAATTATATTTACTAATATAAAATACTCTGTGAAAATAGAAGGAAATAAATGTTACATTAGACACACAGGCAACTGTAAAGTTGAGCTGCATTTGAAACCACCAGGTTTTCATATTCTCTTTGGGCTACAAGTTAACAGTTTTATTACTGACTGATGCAATATGGTACATTTCGTTTGGAGTGAACTCTGGGAATTTGTCATGTTATACATTTTAAAGTTCAGTTAAAAATTTTGGATTTCATCATTTTATTATTGATTTAGAGACATGAATAGTAAAACGTGCAAAATAGTAAATGGGGATTTTTTTTCCTGGAATGTGGAGTTTTCATTTGTTGAAGACATGTTATTTTGGACAAATGAAGGTATGATTGGACACTAGCCTAGCGTTTGAGCAGTGCCCTCTGCCCTTCAACAGATTTGACTTGTGTGAACTCCTTGTATCTCAATTATCTTAAAAAAGAGCTTTAGGTATGTAGAATTTAGAAACTGTCATAATTAGTCTTTTATACTTGAAGTGATGACAAATTATTTTTTGGGTAACTCTTCATTAAAAACTTTTCTATGTAAAAAGTAAGATAGCCTTGGATGGATGAATGGATAAAGAAAAGTAGTGTATGTAGGTACAGTAGAATATTATTCAGCTATGAAAAGAAAATGCTGCCGCTAGTAATAATCTGGGTGGATGTTGAGGACATTATTCTAAGTGAAATAAGTCCAACAGAGAAAGACAAATACTGTATTATCTCACATACATGTGAAATTAAAAAGTAAACGTGCTCATGGATAAAACAGATGTGGTTGCCAAACTGGAGTGGGAATAAGGATTAAAGTGGTTGGTGAAATGGGTGAAGGTGGTTAGAAGGTACAAAGTTTCAGGGGCGCCTGCATGGCTCAGTCGTTTAAGCATCAGACTCTTGATCTTTGCTCAGACTCATGTCATGATCTCATGGTTCACGAGTTCAGGCCCCACGTCAGACTATGCGCTGACTATGTGGAGCCTGCTTGGAATTCTCTCTCCTCTCTCTGCCTCTTCCCTTCCCCTCTCATTCTCTCTCTCTCTCCCCCTCTCTCTCTCTCAATATAAATAAATAAACTTTTTAAAAAAGTACAAACTTTCAGTTATAAAATAAACAGACATGAAAATGTAACGTACAGCATGGACTATATTTAATAATACTGCATGTGAGAAAGTTGCTGAGAGTAGATCTTGAAAGTTCTCACCATACCAAAAAAAATTTGTAATTATTCTGATGAGGCATGTTAACTAGATTTACTGTGGTGATTATTTCACCATATACATAAATGTCAAATCATTATGTTGTACACCTGAAAGTAACATAAATATTACATGTCAATTATATCTCATTTTTTAAAAAATGAGCTTAGTCTTTCCTTGCCAAAGAATTACAACCTTTTCCTGCTTGGTTATGGAGTTTCAGAATCTGTGAATCTCCCACCTTCATCCACTATACCCGAGTAGTTGGTGTGTGTTTCTTACATTACTCACCCCTTAGAAGTCTTGGACGTTTTGCCATATCCACCTCCTTGACGTAAGTTCTCACTGTCTGGGTCACACTTTTTTCTTACAAACCCGTGTTAAGTGTGCATCTTCAAGGTCACACTTTTTTCTTACAAACTGCAGTGTTAAGTGTGCATCTTCAAATGGCCATAGAGCATTTCTGGATGAAAGTGTTGTTTAAAAATGAATCCATTTCCAGGTCTTCATTTTCCATTTGTACTCTTCCCTAAAACCGATTTGTTTGTAGTGAAGTTTTCATGATTGGTCTCTTATCTCACCTCCCTCTCACCTTTCTCGATCACCTTCAGGCTACCAAGCAAATGACTTCTGAAATTGCCTTTTTCAAAGCAACTCATAAAGAGTTCCCAAGCCCCTTTCCCTCACCATCGATTTCATCAAAGATTGCAATAATAATAAATTTTTACATTTATGCTAACTGAATATGCTGGTTTTAAAATTTTTTTGTTTTATTTTATTTTTTTAATGTTTTATTTATTTCTGAGAGAGAGAGAGACAGCGTGAGCAGGGGTGGGCCAGAGAGAGAGGGAGGTACAGAATCTGAAGCAGGCTCCAGCCTCTGAGCTGTCAGCACAGAGCCCGATGTGGGGGTCAAACCCACGAACTGTGAGATCATGACCTGAGTCAAAGTCGGATGCTTAACCGACTGAAGCCACCCATGTGCCCCTGAATATGCTGTTTTGATGAATTGTGTACTAGTAGTAATTTAATGGCAGTTCAATTTAAAAATGTTCTTTAAAAATGCTTGGAGCCTTGCAGTCACAGTGATGTTTTTATTTTAACATACACACAAATTTTGATACAGAGAAGATTGCTTAGAATGATCAATAGAAGAATTTAAAACTTAAAAATTATTAGATAAAACTCTGTGGCAGTAGAAAGGAAATTCAAAGTGGATGAAAAAAAGATGCCAATTTTCCTATTTTTTATATTTCATTGAATATGTTTAAGAGTGTGATGTAACAGTTGTATTTCACAGTCCCATATTTGAAATATGCCAGAGATTACATCTTCTGCAACTATTTAAACTTATCGTGAAAAGATTTCAGTGTCAATAAAAAAAATGTATCAGGTGGCTCTTGATTTTTAAAGAATCATTGTGAGGTAATACTGAGCAAAAGTTTCAATACCACTCATCTACAAAATAAAATCCCGCATCCTAGTCTGGCCATCTAGCGCTTGGGGATTCGGGCTCCTTTCAGGTCTCCTTTTCCAGCAATGAGTTTCCTCCCTCCCTCTAACATATACCAGCTTCCAAGTCACCTAGATCCACTGTTAACAGACCTACTGCTTTGCCTACAATGTGCTGGAGGCTTTTCACCCTTTTCAAAGGTCACTCCAGTCTGAAATGCAGCCCCCCACCTCCAAGCTTCCCTGCTTGTTACTAAAAATCCATCTGCACCAGATCACCTCCCCTACAACTTGCCCAGCGTACACAGAGGATTAATAATTTATGTTCAGTTCTTACTTAGGACCCTATACCTCTACTAGGCGGTTACCACAGACTCCATTTTAATTAACCCCCCACTTCCCCCACAGGCCCCCACCACATCATGTGTAAAAAATATTTGGCATCGTTTATTTAGCTTTTAGTAACAGCTAATCTTACCAAGGGACAATGTATTTAAGTGAGACAAACTATAGATTTGGTATACACCATTCTTATTTTGGCTTTTTCAATGACCCGTTATACGCCTCTAAGTAAACATCAACTTTAGATACTTTATATTTAAATTTCTACATTTTAAGCTTGAAGATGATGCTCTTAACGTTTTAAAGTATACAGTTTGATGACAATTTTTGGTAAATTTGTATAGTTGTACAACCATCACCGCAATCCAATTATCACAATCATTTTTAAAATTCAGATATAATTGACATATAATATTAGTTTCATGTATTCAATATAATGATTCAATATTTGTATATATTGTGAAATAACCCCAATAAGTCTAGTTAAAATAGTTAAAAAAATTTTTTTTCCTTGTGGTGAGAACTTCTAAGACCTGTCTTATTTCACTTAGCATGATGCCTTCCAGGTCCATTCAAATTGTTGGAAGTGGCAGGATTTTTTTTTTAATGGCTGGATATGTTCCTGTTTGTGGTGTATGTGTGTGTACACACACCAGTATATACCATTTCCTTTATCTACTCATCTATACGAAGTTTGGTTTTAAACTTCATTTAGGGGGCCCTGGGTGGCTCAGTCAGTTAAGCGGTTAAGCACCTGACTCTGACCCAGGTCATGATTTCACAGTTCTGTTCGTGAGTTCAAGCTCCATGTGGGGCTATGTGCTGACAGCTTAGAGCCTGGGGCCTGCTTCTGATTCTATGTCTCCCTCTCTCTCTGTCCCTCCCCTATTTGCTCTCTGTCTCTCTTTCAATAAGCAAACATTAAAAAAATTAATTAAAAAATAAACTTTATTTATATAACCAGCAATTGTGGAAAGTCATTCAGTAGTTTATTAAGGAAAAAATAAACACCCATATGGGAGTATCCCATTTGTTTTCAGGTTTTAATGAGTAGTTTTAATGTGTAATCCTTAAACCTCTAAAGGGAATTTTCCCTCCTTGATTTCACTCAGAAGACATTCCAGAGTGTTAATTTTACTCAGGGGATGCTTGGGATAAATTTCTTCATCTGGAATGTGTCCTCCAATTCCCGACACCTTTCAGAGTTATTCCCAGTTCTTCCTAGATGTCCCCTGAGCCGTGCCCTTTGGGTAGTTCTGTGGAGAGATTAGTTAGGGTCCTTTGAGGATGGGAGCAGAGAAATGACTTACCATGATGTAGCCTTTTGCCTCCATCCTGGGTCACTTCAGTGTAGCCCACATTTTGTTAGACTTACTTTGACAGAGTTCTTTCTTTCCCTTTCTGTCTTCTATATTCTCAATTTCTAGCTAATTTTGAAATATTAAAGAAAAGGCAGACTACTTAATTTGGAAATCATTTTCCTTACCCAAGAAGAAAATTCTTAGCATGTAATCTGATGCCTTATTATCTCCTTAACCATCTTTACCTAGATCCATGTTTATCTAATCCTGAAGGCAGGTAAACATAATGGGTTAATAATATATATTTATGACCCACTTGATCATTGGAAAGGTCAAGTAGAAAGTCTGTTTGATTGTCATTTTTAAGGTAATTTCATCCAGCAAAAATGGATCAAAATCTAAGATCTGAAAATACTTTTGTATGAAATTGTTTTCTCATTACACAGAAACTTAGAATAAAGGTGCAGCTTGTATTTTTTAAATATATTTGTAGAGGACACAGACTTTGGCAGATGATTTGGATAAAAATCTTCAGTTTCCTCTCTAATATGAAGAAACGTATTTCAATTGCATTGAATTTTCACTTCCATTTGATTAAAAAATAACAAAACTTTAGAGTGTCTAGGTGGCTTTTTGGTTAAGCATCCAGCTTTGGCTTAGTTTGTGTGTTTGAGCCCCATTTCAGGCTCTCTACTGTCAGCACAGAGCCAGCTTTGGATCCTCGGTCTCCCTCTATCTCTGCACCTCCAACACACCCCCACACGCCACCCACTCAAAAGTAAATAAACATTTAAAAATCTTAAGAAAACAAACCATTAAAAATTAGGTTAAGTCTTAAAAGGTGAATTTGATTCAGGAAATAGAAGTTTTTCCTGATCTCTTTGTTGCAGACAGTCTGTCTGATGCTATAACTTGGGAGCCACAGTTCTTAGAAAAGCAGCAGGTTAGAATATCAGGATATTCTGACAGGGTGTTCTTAGACAAGCCAGCCTACCCCTCACTCCCTGCAAATGCTTTCAATTCCGCTCCAATTAAAGAACTGACATGCGAAGCCAGTTTTACCAAGTGAAAACAATTAAAGTGGAACCAGGAGGAAATACTCCCTGTCTTGTTGCCTTATAAAAATTATACACACACTTATCAGTTTGAATTCAAATCCCATACTGTTCAGTAGCAAAAGACTGCAAAGGTCCCATTTATTATCATCTAATTTCAAGTAATGTAATAAGAGCTACTAAATTTATCCATTTTGAAACATTTGAAAAAATCTGTACATTTCTAATAGATTTGATATAAGGAAAAATATGCAACTTAACAAAATTTAAATCCCCTTCGATATATATGGAGATATTTTATGTCTTGTTTTAGAGAGATTCCCCCTTCAAGGCTTCTTTCCAACCCCACCCCAGAAATAGTTGTTAACATCTTTATATGATTTAGTTTGTGCTGTTCCTCAAGAATAATGTTAGGTTTAGGGAGAATCACACACTGGTCTGCAGGAGTGATGCATTGATTTTAATAATATTTTTATGTCATTCTTTTTTTGTTTTATTTTATGTTTATTTATTTTTGAGACAGAAAGAAACAGATCATGAGTTAGGGAGGGGCAGAGAGAGAGGGAGACCCAGAATCGGAAGCAGGCTCCAGGCTCCGAGCTGTCAGCACAGAGCCCGACGCGGGGCTCCAACTCATGAACCGTGAGATCATGACCTGAGCCGAAGTCGGATGCTTAACTGACTGAGCCACCCAGGCACCCCTGAACGATGCTTTTTGAGGCACATTTGTTGGAGCAGTGCGTAGGGGAGGAAAAACGTCTTTTTCTTTACACGTCCTTGTTTCTCTAGGTGGGGTTCCGTAAGTTTGAGTGGCCAAAGACAGATGAGTAAGAGTAAAATAGAAGTTGGTTAACAAGTGCATCATCACGTATGCCAAGAAGCACCCAGCATTCAGGCGTGTTTGGAACTTGGGTCTGTATCCCATCCTGTGCTGAAACAAAAGGGATTTGGGGCTTTAGCGTGAGGGAGACCAGTTAAGAGAAGGTGGCCAGGAAGACTACGGTAAAGGATTCCTTAGGGAGGTTTGCAGTGCAGATCTAAGTTTTACTTTTCGTCACCCCATGAGAGTTGTTAAAAGTTCTCTCTTCCTACTTCAGAGTGTCCATATTTATATCATTTTTCTTTGTTCCCAATTTCTGTCTCTAAAAATGGAAATTTCCTTTATAAATAGAAGTTTCCTTTACAAAAGGAAAACAAAGTCCCTGGTTTTAAAGCTTTACCTGGGTCTGCTGCTTCTCCATTGCCTTCACCTTGACATGATTCAGACAGCAGAGAGGTGTGGTTCCAATGACATGTTCTGGTTCTGGAGGCAGGGCCTGCGTTTCCGTCCAGCTCTGCCAGTGTCCCTTGGGCAAGGTCATTAACGTCTCTTAGTCTTAGATGCAGTAAAACTGCTTCCTCATTTGTTCAGAAGTTTAAATTCGAGACATATGACTCAGCACAGACTCTAGTACAAGAGGACGCTAACTGCTATATTTGTATCATCACCATCACTATTATTATTACTATTACTATTACTGTTAGTGCTGCTGCACACTCATGGCACTGTGATCTGGAGAGGCTGAGAACGTTTCTCATGCCCCTAATAATCATTCCAAATAAATGACTGCTGCCGGTGCCTGTTTTTTAAGATCAAAGGTCTCAAAGACGTTTGAAGAGCTCCCTCACATTACCGTCCATTGGGAGGGGGAAATAACTGTCCGTCCGTCCCTCTCCTCGTCTTTTACTTTCATTCCCATTTTTATGTTCTTCTTGAACAAAGAAATGTCTTTCTTATCTGTTTATTTTGTTCACTCTCACTGTAGCTCCCAGGACTTTTTTCTAAGGGTACTAAGTTCTTCAGGAAAGATGCTAAGATGTTTTGCTGATTGTTATCTCTGATTGTCCTTTGTTTGTTGTTCTCATATTCAGATTTCTCTCCTGTTATGCTAATGTGGCAGCTTTATGAGCCCCTGGCGTGTAAGTGCCTGGGTGATTTGGACCCTGCCTAGAAGAAAGGTTTTCTTCTTTCATTTTGGAAGAAATTGAGCTCAAAGGAATGATATTTTGTTAAGGAATATTATTAGCTGAATACTTTGGTCTTTGAAAATCATTTCGCTTCTTCAAAACCCCACTGGGTAATATCAGATATTTTTATAATTTAATTCTTTGAAGATGATAATAAGAATGATGTTTCTCTTTTTTAACAGTGATTGTTTTAACTAGGATTAGTTCTTCCCGTTCTATTTTTCTGTTTTCCAAAATCTCAAAAATGAATATATATTGCTCTGACAATACAGGGACATATTTTTTAATGTTTCGTTTTTAAAAGAAGTGGGGTTTTAAAAATTATTTTACATATGCTAATTACTTTATGCGTCTTTTCTCCAAAGGTATGTAATGGGTACAGCTTCATACGATCTATAAGTCACATGTCTCAAGTGAACAATTCTCTCTTCACCATGATTTCAAGAAAGAATGTTACAGTTAGTATTTTTGATGAAAGAATAAATAGGTGCGGAAGCGTTAAGCGGTCCCCAAGTGCACTTCTTATTTTTCTCAAATGTACTTTAAAAGATATAATTGATATTATTAGGCAAGAAAAAGCAGAATTTATATAATAGGTTGCTAGATGATTGTACACAGTTATCAGCTTTGCATCTCACGACACTGGGATTGGGCATGTGTTCCCGGTTGCGGTTTGCCTGGAAAAATGTTTATCATTGAAGATTGAACTCCATTTGGAATGAAATTTTCTGTTGCCCATGTTACTAGTTAGTTTCTTCCTCTCCTCTTCTCCCATTATAACTGATTTATACTTCCATTCCAGTATTTATTAAAAATTGCTTAAGGAAAAGGACTTTGAGGGGCCGCCTGGGTGGCTCAGTCTGTCAACCCTTTAAGTCTTGATTTCAGCTCAGGTCATGATCTCACGGTTTGTGGGATGGAGCCCTACTGTCTGGCTCTGCGCTAACAGCATGGAACCTGCTTGGATTCTCTCTGCCCTTCCTCTGTGTGAGCGCTCTCTCTCTCTCTCTCTCTTTCTCTCTCTCTCTCTCTTTCTCTTCCTCAGAATAAAAATAAAAGACTTTTCAGTCTGACAGGTGGAGTTCCTGAATACCTGTTACCCCACTTACAACTCCTCATTGTGAACATATTATATTATTTCTTTGTTTTTTAGTGAGCAGGGGAGGGGCAGAGAGAGAGGGAAACACAAAATCCGAAGGAGGCTCCGGGCTCTGAGCTGTCAGCACACAGCCTGACCCCAGGCCCGAGCTCATGAGCCGTGAGATCATGACCTGAGCCAAAGTCTGACGCTTAACTGACTGAGCCACCCAGGCGCCTCTGAACATATTATGTTAAATGTCTCCAAATGTTTCTTTCCTTCATCCGTAAAATGACAGTGTGGCAGTGGGATGGATGAGGTTATGCTTATGACAAATGATCTCAAAAAATGACAGTGTCTTATCAAGACAAAAATGTATCTCCTTGCTCATGCTAAATGCCTGTCATGGACTGTCTGAAGCTCGGTTTGCATTGTCTCTATGTCCGAACTTAGACCGCAGAAGAACAGGGAAATTAGAGACGTAGAAAACCCCTAACTTTAAACCTGTCCAGAAATAGCACCTGTGATTTCTGCCCACATCTCATTGGCCTTTCAAGTCACACAGCTACTCCTGGGTTTAGGCGGAGATGATAACATCCCCATAGGGAGGAAGGCCACTTCATGAGGCATCAGATGAGCTGCACACAGACTGCGAAGTCGGGGGCCTGCCCCCCGCCCCACCGGGCTCGTCTACAGAGGACGCGGTTTTGTGTGTACACATTTGTAAGGTGCCCAGGAGTTTACTGTCTTCTCTGCATCCCCGCTCCCAGGAAGTTAGTCTCACGTTGAATAAATACTTGCTGTGACCTGCATCATGTTACATACCAAGCATTTGTGACTGGAGTGATTCAATCATGAGAACATTCTTTTTCGTATACCACCTAACCCTTGAAACAAAACTCACCTAAGATAGCCTCCCTGTAAATGATTAGACCATAAATAAATGAGAACTACATCTTTAACATCTGCCTTTCCATCGCATTCCTTAATTATTTGTCTCAGGTTTGAGAGAAGCAAACAGAACTGTTTTTGTTGAGTGCTCAGTGTAATCAGACTGTACTTTCCCATTAAACCGATCAGGTATCGATTTGTTCTTTTAGTGTTTAGTAGACTCAGTGGTGGTGGTGTTTTTTTAATAGAATACAAGGCAACTATATGTATATTGTACATTTGTTTTTTTTAGGATATTACCTGTTCATATAATATGGTGTTTAGAACACAGCAGATTTTACTGTGAGTTTTCCTTTGCTGTTTTATCTTAAAATTTCTACTGAAAAATTGACTTAATTGTGTGTGTTCAAGTGTCATGAAATTTCACATACATACAGATTCTTGAAGCCATCAGGACAGCAGGATGCAAAAACTCTCTTGATGTTTTGGTGATGGCAGAGCAGAATAATAATTATGAAATAGAACAATGATAATATCAGTTGAAGATAAATGTGTGTATAATTACAACTCTTAGCATTCTGACATTAGTATCAATGTATATTTTTATCTTCATACTATAAAGTCTGATTATTGACGATGACACTTGTAATGGTAAAGGAGCATTGAAGGCCTTTTAATATTTCTGTGAAGGCTAATTAGAACAGATGTTTGTCTCAACTAACTTTATTACAAATACTGAAAATGTTAACTCTTTGTAGTTTAGAAGTGAATTTCCTGTTATAATTAAGTTATAGATCAAATGTAAATTAGAATCTGTTCACAATATCTAATCCTCCTCACTTGGGACATAAGGAATGGAAATGTTCTCTTCCTATGCTCCCTCAATTCACTTACCGATGGTATTAAATGATAATTTATTTTTAGATTGCTGAGAGTAAATGTAGGTGCTGGTAATTCACTTAGTGGCTGTTACAGTGTCATTAATGAAGTAATGGATGAAATATGACTCTGGTCTTATTTTATCTTGAATTACATGACTTTCGGAGTATTGAAGGTGATTCTGGAAATAGGATCTCCTAGAACACAGGCTTTGCCGGTTTGACTGTTAGCTAGAAGTCTTTGTAGGACTGACTCTAAAATAATTAATGTTGACTAATTAATTGGATCATTGCATCATTCATTCATTCTCCTGTAACTTAGGTATGTAAGGGCTCAGCATTAGCGAGGATACGGGGAGATGCAGGTAGTAAGTAAAATATATCCTTGGGGTGTGAACATGTGTGGCCCAGTTACAGGAAGTGAGATGGGTGCCGATGGAGCCTGTGCAGTGGGCTTGGCATTAGAGTGGGACACCTGGCTGCTTGGAAAAGAGAGATTTAGAATAACAAAATGTTGCTACGACTGGGGTGAATTTTGAAAATGTTATGCCAAGCGAAATAAGCCAGACAAAAAAAACCAACAAATACTGTAATGATTTCACTTGTATGAGGTGCCTAACAGAATAGTCAGGTTCATAGAGAAAGAAACTAAATGGGAGCGAGGCATGGGGAGTGATGTTTATGGGTACAGGGTTTCAGCGTGGGATGATGAAAAAGTTCCAAAGATAGGTGGATAGTGGTGGTAGCTGCATATAACATCATCACAGTACTCAATGTCATGGAATCGTACACTCAAAAATGGTCAAAATGGGAGATTTTATGTTCTATATATTTTGCCACAATAAAATAACAAAATTAATAGAAACCCAAAAATGATCATTTATAGCCCCTGCCCCCAGTTCTTCTCTTTTTAAGAGAAGTTTTTAAAAGAATTTTTTAGGGATGCCTGGGTGGCTTAGTCGGTTAAGCGTCCGACTTTCGCTTAGGTCATGATCCCGCGGTTCGTGGGTTCGAGCCCCGCGTCGGGCTCTGTGCTGACTGCCAGCTCAGAGCCTGGAGCCTGTTTCAGAGTCTGTGTCTCCCTCTCTCTCTGACCCTCCCCTGTTCACGCTGTCTCTCTCTGTCTCTCCTAGAAATAAAAATATTTTAAAAAATAAAAAAAATAAAAGAATTTTTTAACATTCCCTCTCCATCTTTTGTATCCATTATAGTTTTTCCTAATTAGGTTTCATATATAACAACTAATCTCTGCCAGATTTATGCCATTAGATTGTGTTCGTCAGATTTATGCCATTAGGTTGTGTTGTGAAAGTCCGTAAGTACAGATGGAACTTGCTTTACTACCTTTCAAGCTAACAATATTCAGAACATTTGAGGTACTTTTGTATGAAATGGCATATTTAGTAAGTTCTACCTTCCTATATTTTATTTAATTGGAAAAAAAATGCCTGCGCACTTAAACATGGCTGACCCTTGAGAACATTGTGAGAGAAGCCATTTACAAAACACTGATGTTTCTATTTATATGAATTGTCCAGAATAGGCAATTTATAGAGCCAGAGAGTAGATGGCTGCTTGTTTCAGACTGGGGGGAGGGGGTCATGGAATGGTGGAATGGGGACAGTGGGAAGATTCGGGATTTGTTTTAGGGGGAATGAAAGTTAGATTCTACAACTAGATTTCAGTGATGGTGGCACCATCCTGTGAATAAACTAAAAACCATTTAATTGCACACTTTTTTATAAGTCAGGTGTATGGCATGTGAATTATATCTCAAATAAACTATTTTTTGCAATGCTTAAAGGAATGGTTTAACTTATCTTTTTTTGAAGGATCTTTTTGCTTTTTGCTTCATCATATGTCTTAGGTTAGTTGAAAGCAACGTAGCATTGTCAAGGTTAGCATTTTAAATATGCGTGTACTTTCTAGCAAAGCCACAAACTGAGAGAACTTTCCGACTGGTAACTATCAAAATGAATGCACAGACATCTGAACGCAAGTATTAGTACATTTTACACACTCACACACTGAGTGACCTTGTTAAGCTGGTAGTGTACATCTTCAAATCAGACAGAAAATGATGATTAATTTGATGACTGCAGAGCAACAAAAATGACACATTTCTTTGAAAGATGTACCCGTTTATAGGATTGCTTTTTAAAACTCAAGTCTCTTTTCTTCAACTCATTATTTTTTCTTTGCTTTTTAATTTCATAAAAAAACTAACAAACATTGAAACAGTTACCAGTTTATGAAAGGAGAGCTGAGTAGAAAAGCACTGGGTGGAAATAGTGTTGTGCTGAGTTGGTAAGCCATTCTGTAATCCCTGCTTCTAAAGTCGTCACCGTCACTGGCTAGATGCTAAGCAGCCTTGATACATTAGCCCTTAAACTATAAATGACCTTATATTAAAAGAGATGCTGGTTGCTACCAGACAGAGTTCTTCATACACACACACCCCCCCTTGTGTGCATACATGCCTGTCTGCTCCAACTCACAACCAGCTCAGAACTCAGGGTTTGCTCGGAGCTGCCATTTTTTTTGTTGTTAGCCATTTTGAACCAGCCCCCCCACCCCCGACCTTATTCCTTTGGTTAACTTGGGCCCCACATTTATAACTAATTTATAATTTATAAACTAGTTGCATTTGTAAATTCCTTGCACAAGAAAACACATTGTGATTCCAACCTAAAGCTGCAACTGACTTTTAGATATATAACCCAATGGGAAGGGGGGTGCTCCCTATGAAATGTCTCTTTTTTACTTTGTATTTACTTCTACATTAACATGTTATTTTTCAGTTCCAAGATTTAAAGCAGGCCAGTGTGTGTTTGCTTACCTGCTTGAGTCAAACCGAACTATTACTAATTGAAAATTTGTCTTCCTATCAAACAGCACATACATTTTAAATCTCTTTCTATGGGGGTGCCTGGGTGGCTCAGTTGGCTAAGTGTCTGACTTGGGCTCACATTCGTGAGTTCGAGTCCGCCCTGGGCTCTGTGCTGACAACTCGGGGCTTGGATCCTGCTTTGGATTCTGTGTCTCCCTCTCTCTCTGTCCCTCCCCGACACGTGCGCTCTGTCTCTCTCTCAAAAAAATAAAATGAATAAGCATTAAAAAGAATTAAGTCTCTTTCTATGTATGTTCATGTGGTTTTAGCCCATATTTGTATTTCTGTGTTCGGTTGTAGACCTAGTAGTAGCCATACCTTGTTGGATCTGTTGGGACTCCAACGAGAGGAATGAAACGGTGATTCCCTGCTCTAGCAGAGCCTCCATCTTGGAGGTCGATGACTGTGGTGCACGGTGGAGCCAGGAAAGCACTTGGGTAACACCAGGAACGGTTCTGAGGAATCAGAGAGGAAGAGGGAATCTCTGGCACCAGAGAACCTCTAACAATAAGTTGAACCTTAAAAATAAGGGAAGAATTTTGAAACTGAAGAAACCAAAAGGTCCTTCACCAGCATGCTGAGTTCTTGCGAAAAGGAATAGAACTAAAAGCCGAACAAAAAAGATCTACTTCCTGTCTTCTGGGTACATTAGTCTATGACGTCATAGTCCTTTTAGTGGGAGAAATACAGACTTCATTTAAGGGGTAAGTTTATTTTGTGTTCTGGTGCATCCCATTCTAAAACTGCCCACCAAGTCTGTAGCGTGAAGCCGAAGGTCATTACGAGTGGGAAGTCTTAGTTTAAGAACCCAAGGGAACAACCCACCATGTTTATCCTGCTTGTTTGCTATTAATGTTTTACTCTGTAAACTGTCACACCGCAGCAGCCCATAGTGCATCCCGAGCAGGGTCCGTCCGGTATAGGGCCACCCTGAGGGTTTCCAAGAGGAGCTGCACCACCCTTTGTGGCCCAAGGTCCTGCTCGCTGGGAACCCCTTCCTCATTTGTTGTATGCAAATCAGTACAAGTGAACCCTCCTTCACTTACTAGTTACGGGAACCAGCTCACCGAAAAGCTGTTCTCAGGTTGCCATTAATCTGTCTGAAAACGCGTTACCATGAATTTAAGAAACTCCTGAAGGAAGAAAGAATAATATTAGATAAATGTGTCTATTGAGTGCTTACGTATAAACACATACTGAATTATTTTATTATGTTTTCCCAGGAGCCCTAGGAGGTGTGTATCGCCATTGTCTCTGTCTTACAGATAAGAAAGCTAAGGCACTGAGGAGAGTGAAATTTCATTTCCCAGATTATGTTATTTGTTAGGTGTCACCATGTATCGCAGGCGGTTTGCTGAAAGTTAGCTAACGCAGGGTCCTACCCCTTTAGAAAACAAGCATTTTTCTTACGCTGTGAATCTAGATGTTGAGGCACAAGAAACCTGACCAGCAGAGAAGGAAAGCGGAAGGCCAGCACATATGCTGTGGGATGTGTAACAGTAAGTGTCGCCTCACACAGCCTCCTATGTAGCGTGTGTTGAAGAGCCTACTGGCTAAATACCCAGCCAAGAAACATGGCCATTTTGTGAACAGATAATATGTTAGGCACTCATTTTTCTGTCTAAGAAACTCTTCAACTCCAGTTCTAATGTATATATTTCTATGTATATGTATCTGTCCAGATAGATAGATACAAGACAAGGTATAATATACTTAATAATTTCTAGTAAAGTATGGATAAAACATATCAAGGAGTTATATTATTTGGCTATTTGAATTTCTTAATCCAAAAGGATTTTTTTAAACGACTAAGCTGCTATTTAAGAAGGTGACCGATCCAAGTTCATTGATCTTTTCTTCCACATTCCTAAAAGCCCTCATGTTTGCAGTTGGTGGAAAGGAGGTGGACACACAGGGCATGGTTGATGCATATGCATGACTGACCCCTGAATGGCTAGGAGGTGGCTGTACAGAATGAGCTGGTGCTCAGACTCCATGGGTCCTCAAAACACCACTGTAAGGACGAAGTGAAGTAACAGATCGGAAAATGCGGTATTTCAAAAGATAAAAATCACTGGTCACATGCATGTTATCAAGGAGCAGCTCCTATCTCAACATTTTTACTTCTTGATCTCTTTGTACACACCCTCTCCCCCTGCACCCCTCACTGCTCTTCTCATTTCCTCCTCCTACTCCCCCCCCCCCCGCCAGGATCCAGCTGATGAGTCAGTGGCATGGGGCGGTGGAGAAGGGCTACATCTGTCTCGTGTTCTTGTGCTTCCGTAAATGGTCACATCACCACAGCTTCCTCATGTCACTCTTCCTTTCCTGCCCACCTTTGTATCCTCTGAGGGATTTTATATTTTATTTTTATTTTTTATTTCTGAGAGAGAGAGAGAGAGAGAGAGCAGAGGAGGGTCAGAGAGAGAGGGAGATACAGAATCCGAAACAGGCTCCAGGCTCTGAGCTGACCGTCAGCACAGAGCCCGACGCGGGGCTCGAACCCACGAACCGTGAGATCATGACCTAAGCGAAAGTCGGACGCTTAACCAACTAAGCCACCCAGGCGCCCATCTGAGGGATTTTAAAACATTCTCTGGGCTTCCTAATTTATCTCACTCCATTTTGCTCTACCTTTGTAAGATAGGACCCTCTTCCTATTCCTCCCTTCTTCCACACTCTGCATCTGGATATCAGCCGGTGACCCGGGGCCACCTGGCTGGCTTCCTTGTGTGATGCTGTGTCTTTTGCATGGTAGATACTCAGAGAACACGTGTTCATTAACTAGCTGGAAAAAAGACAGATGAGCTACATATTCCTTCTTCTCTTTCCATATTTGGGGGGGAAAAAGTGTTGCCTGGCCTTAAATTTGGAGATTTTATCCAAGTACACAGGATTGTAGAGCCCCCAACTGTTTAACTCTTGGTGTTCTTCCTGCTAACATAGCAAGGCAAAATAAGAACACTTCTTTGAGGCAAGGGAGTGTTTATTTTGAAAGACTCAAAAATCTTGCCCTTGAGGCATTCCATGAGTTTGCTTTTGTTTTGTCACCTACCAGAGACGGTAAACATGAGCCGCTCTTGCATGGAATCCCCTGGAAGTAACATTAAATTTCCAAATGTCCTCATAGAATCTTGCCAGTTGACATTCTCTTGAAGAACCTGGGTGACTGGACTGTTTTCAGCTGTGTTTATTTGCTTGCCCTGGCGAGTGTTGATCTGAAGGGAGCCATTACTTGATCCCTTTAAATGATTAATGTTTTTTCCTTCCATTTTTTTTAAAGGAAATGGCAAAAATCCTTAATCATCCCAGAGTCTATGCTTTTCTGCACATACCAGTCCAGTCTGCCTCTGACACTGTGCTCATGGAAATGAAAAGAGAATACTGCGTGGCTGACTTCAAAAGAGTGGTGGATTTTCTGAAAGAGAAGTAAGTCTGTTAGTACTTAAGGAAATAACCATTTCTTTTTTTCTTGCGAAGGCATGTGGCAAAAATGCACTTATTGTAGCCACAATTAAAGGTACCAGAGGGAAGGCGAGAGTTTTAAAACTTTCAGAGCCTTTAAGTTTCCTTAGGGGACCCTTGATGTGGTTTCTTCTTATATCCACCTCCCATCTGTTCACAACATACCATTAATTTGTGTGAGATTGCCACAATCTTTCCAAGGTAATGTGCATTGTGATCATTTTTATACCTGACCTCGCAGATGCAAACTGGGTTGGCTTTGCTTAAATCTCCTTTAATGTGGCTTTTTGAGGTGGTGAGCTAGGCCCGACATGGCGGGCGGCCAACTCATGTCACTGCGGAGTAGGTAATTTTCTCCCAAGTAGCACTTTTCGAAGAGTATCTGGAACGTCCTTGCTTTTACCCGCTTATCCCCGAAGACCATTTGGAGAACGGTGATTTATAAGGAGGTTTTGGGATTCTGTGTTTTTAAAGTTGAAATTGCTGTTGACCAAAATTAAGGCATATTTACACAATCTTAGACATGAATGATCATTTTGCTTCCACAAAAAACACTTGCAGCCCATAATTATATTCTTCAGAATCCTACTTCTCATCATCACCAAACATTGACTGCCTTCTGTGATTATACGAGGCAGGAAATAGCAGGGCTGGCCAAGGTCATACGAAACCTTCTCAAGTCTAGGGCACTGCTCTCCCCCATGGCGATAGGTCATTTATCCGGGCATATCTGTGGCATGCGTCTTCCTACCTTCCGTAATTTTTCCCCATAATTTCTTCCTCTGTTGTTTCTCCTAATTAAGATACAACTTTTTATTTCCATCATCTTGTTTATAATTATGTACCTTTGTACCATGTCAGAGAGCTACATGGATATGCTTGCTTTGTGCAAATTGTGAGCAATTATTTTTTCCATCTTCAATTAGTGACTTATCCTGACTGCATAGAAGTCTTTTTAAATCTTTTTTCTTCTTCTATTTACTTTCTCCTTCCTTCCTCATCTTTCCTTTATGTCTTTCTAATTTTTTTCCACCCCTAGGCATTTCTTGATTATCGTAACCACTAGAAATAAAGACACTTGTGTGCATTCAAACAAACACAGCTAATTGTTCGAATATTCAAATGAGCGAATAGAAGGCATATTTATTCTAGGATTTTGTAATTATAATCATTAAATATATACAGCCTTCAAAGTAGAAAGCAGAATAATGACAGATCTCCACCATTCATGGTACGTTCTGCTCTTGAACAGAATGGAGGTCAAGTCTAAAGAATAAGAAGCTTTATGTTTGACAGCTTTTAGGTTTCCCCATATCCCTCCTTTGCATTTATTCTAGCTGTTGTAGGTAAACTTGTCTCCTGTGAGGGAGTCCTGGGCACGTTGGCACTGGTGAATGGAATGTTTTCAAAATTGCAAATAAATTGTTGCACCTGTGAAGTTTCTTGCCTCTTGCTTATTACTAGGGCAGTAGCAAATAACGTGTGCAATTCATGGCTGTTGCACAAGATTTTGCCAAGTGGAGACATGCATCTTGTTGTGGAAAATAGACTAGAACACTTTCCAAACGGTTGCTTTAATGTGATTCAGTGAGGTTAAGGAATCAACACCTCTCTTTCTCCTCCACTTGGGTAAGTGCTGACTCAGTTGTTTGGGGAATTACTGTGGCTATCTAACCGGGCAACAATTTCACAGTGAGTTCTAGCCTTTTATGTTGTTCCAAAGATGGACCTTTTAAATCTGTTGCATCTTGAACAGTTTCAACAGCATCCGTGAGGTATATAGAGGTCAAAAGATGATCACAGCAAAGTGTTAGAGAATAGTCTCTTGCCTTTACTCATGGGTTAAACTCATTGTCCTTTCTTTGGATTCTGAATTACCCTGAGGCATCTTTGTAGCTTTTCTAGAACTATCCTACTGTCTGGAAGATCCCAGAGCGAAGTACTCTCCCCAGGGATCTCCGATATTTCCAATACTGGAAATATCAGTGAT